ACATCATCTGTAGGAAATAAGCATTTTAGCCTTGATTTCCAGACTCAGGAGAAGAAACACTTAACAAGGTGAACAGATTCCTCTGCGTTTTTCTATCGATTTGAGTCTTGCCGAGAAAATCTTTTGTTAAGAACTCCTGTACGCGTCTAATTCATGCCATTGGTGGGAGTTCTTCCGGAAAAGACGTGTGAGAACAGGATGAGAACTAAGACAGAAAGATAGGGAAATCATCTTCATAAACTCATATTAATACCATGCAGTGGATGTCCAAATCCAGAACGAAATCGGCAACGTTCTTACATGCCATGATAGTTAACCACTTGTAAGATATGTCAGACCCAGGGTAGTAACCATGCAACGTTTCAAATAATGACAGAAATAAACCATTGCCATTTTCTTAATGCAAATCATGCAATTTGAAGATGCATCGAGGAAACGTTAGGAAATGATCGTTTCCTGTTAGGAAGAGAAATTATACTCCTTCCATTTCACTAGGTACTTAAGCCGTCGACAAAAATGTATTTTAAGAGGTCATAATATTTTTCAAACTGGTAGGTGTTCTTCCACTGGATTCAGGCGGTGATTTTAGATTTTGTTCCATAGATATTAATTTATTTAAATTGTTTAGTTCATATTCGCAATCGCTGTTAAATTCGAAGCACGATTCTGCCTTTTAAAGAAGTGGGTATCTGTGGGTTGGGTCAAACCCGGCGTAGATGAGCGTGTTTTCATCATTTGCATGGTTAATCCCATTTTGGTGCCGGGGTCGTGGCTTTTCTTGGCGCATTGTGAATAGTTTTAGCATCATGACAAGGTTGCACGAGCACGGTAAAGAGACTGCAATGGGAGAACAGTAATTCGTAATGACTTAGTACAGCAACGTTTTGATGTTGCAAAGAATTTAGGGAGCAACGCCAAAGTCGAGCGAATATGACCACTGCAGTTTCTAAGATGCGGGGCTCCGAACAAGCCTGGTACACTGAAAAGGTCAAATTTAATTATGACCGACCTTAGAACTCAAGCCTCGGGTTGAAAGCTCGTCAGATATGCATCACGTTCTCTTAACATCATTCCAGCCGATGGAAAGTTCTTCAAAGGCTGGCTGGTGCAATGCTATGGTCCTGGAAACGGCATACGACTGAATGAATCGCCATCGTTGAAGAAATACGGAATAACGCCCAGCTACTCCATGTCATGCAATCACAGCGCTCTGACAGCAGCGGGTGTGTCACAATAAACGCATTAAGTCGACATCGTTCGTCGTTGGCGCTGGACTCCGTTAAGGGTGCTTTCTGTCACCACTACTGTTCGCTACCTCAATCGAAAGGAGAGTCACACGCAGTCAAGGCGAAGAATGAAACAGAATCGAAGAGGAAAAAGTAAGAAAACAGACGATTTCCATCTGATGGCATCGCCAGAAAACGAACTCCAGAGCGCACTCAGTAGGGGGGGGGGTTGCGACAGAATGGAAAGTGGCCGGAATCGG